TTAAAAAAAAAAAAAAAAAAAAAAGTAAATAAATAAATGAATATCAGTACATCAAATACTGCCATGATGTATAAATACTTTAGAATTTTAAATAGCATATCATTTAATGTAATGTAATGTAAAGTGTGACCAGGTTTAGTTCAGTTCTTAATATTTGTGTCTGGTATTTGTGAACAGATATTGTCCAGAACAAAGAGTTCTATATGAATGCTGAAGTACGACCTCCTTTCACATATGCTTCGCTAATACGACAGGTAAGAACGCAGCCACATTTTCATCACATATTTAACCCACTTACTACGTTGTAATTGAACATCTACACTTTAGATTTTACGTATGTATAACCAGTATGTTTGCAGTATAAATATTCAACGTTAACACAAACGTCTTTAAAGTCAAACCCCTAAACCCCCTCCACCACAGCCGTTAAATTTCAGATGCAATTTAACAGCAGACCTCAAGATTATCCATCTTCAAATGAGCGTGAGAGCACTTGCTGTACATAAAGGGGGCAAAAAAAGCCCATATGTAACAATTGCTTTTGATTAAGTATTACAGCCAATGTGATTATTATGGAATTCATTTCACACAACAGTAAGAACGGGGCGTCTTTGAGATGCCCAGTCAATTACCAGGCCTGAACCGGTAATCTGTGATCACACAGGCATTAATCTGGGCCCGGTTAATTGCCGCTTTATAATCTGGCTATATAATTTTTTTTTCTTGTTCTGGCCGTTTAGCGGAAAAGGATATGCTCAAATTGGCACATTTGCATAAGGAAGCGTTCAGTAAACAAAGTAGCTCCTATTTGAGAATGGAAAAGCGTGGAGCTGTTTTACAAGCACCCTCAGATCAAACATGTGCATCTCACTTTGTTTTTGCTCCAGGGAAGTTGGTGTGTGTGTGTGTGTGTGTGTGTGTGTGTGTGTTTTTCCAGGCAATACTAGAGACGCCAGAAAAACAGCTAACACTAAACGAGATCTACAACTGGTTCACGCGAATGTTTGCATATTTCAGACGCAATGCAGCAACGTGGAAGGTGATCTCACAATTTCCTGCTTTCACTAATATATAATGAATTTGACTGAATAAAAAACATGGAATGAAGTAGAAACTAAAAAACCCAAAATTGGATTGTTGAAGATGTATGGAGTAACTATTGGGTTCACAATAACGAAAACGACCACCAGAATTCAGTGCACACCTCTCTTATTGGACCACACACACTTCCTAGCTCATGACAAACATATATGAATAAAGGAAATACAGTGGGATCCAAAAGTCTGACTACATTATAGATCTGGGATTTAAAATCTAGTTTAAACCTAGACATAATGTTTTAGAACTTTAAAAAGAAAAAAGAACAAGATACATGAGGAAAAAAAATAAGAGTAGATGGTCACTAATCAAATTAAATCAAATATGTGACGGACGGTCAAGTTCTTGCTTTCAAACTGGAATTCATGTTTGTTTGTTTTTTATTATTTAACTTGTCATTCAAATATAATGCTGCAATTAAAAAAGTAATGAATAATGCAAAACAGAAATATTTTCACTAGTGTTCTCAGACTTTTAGATGCCACTTTATATTTTAGTTCTTTAAACAAACTACTACTGACAAACATATTTCTGTTCCCAGATATTAAGATATCATAACATAATGAACATTTAAAAAAAAATCTGAATTATTCCAAACAACACCAGAGATACAAACAGAAACCATGTAAAAACGGGAGTAATTGATGCTATTTCGCCCAATGAGATTTAGTCAACAAGTTCAGATTACACAAGAGAAAGTATGATTTTTTTTCCCCAGCTATGATTTATTTCACTTAATGGTCCTTAGAAGTTTCTGGAAGAGACCCTCTCTTCATTTGGATTTATTTTGAAAGTGTTTTTCGGTTTTCTCTGGAAGAATTTCAGCCTCTTTAAGGGGAAATCTGGTCATTTGAGTAGAATGTTTTCCCCTGGCAGAGTTTGTTGAGCATTGGCATTTAACTCAAGCGTTTTCAGTTTCCGTTTTTGAAGTGAGGCAGAAAATGATGAACTATCTGTGACTTTTACCCATCGCTGAATGATAAAGCACCAGAGTGACAACACCCACACAGGCCTCCATCAATCAATGAGGGCTTTATTTACTAAATATCACCCGCAGGTTGTACAAATGGCCTGATGAAAGGGTAATTTATAAGAACGCAACAAGCAGTGCATGTTAGAATTACATCCCTTCCCCTCATTGTTCAGCTACAGTGCTAAAGTCATAACTGCCAAAGAGTCATGTTTATCAGGCTGTTTATGCAGTCTGGAATTTTGTTGGTAGTCCAAGGTGCTGCTACAACTGGCTCTTGATCAGTGCATTTCTTTGTATAGGGAGTGTTTTGGAAAATAGCATCTACTCTGCAAAAACTGTAGGGAAAAAATGATACATTTCTTATGCTCACCAAGTCTGTATTTATTTGATCAAAATACAGCAAAAACTGTAATTGTGAAATATTATTACACTTCTAAACAACTGTTTTCTATTTAAAATGTAAATTATTACAGTGATGGCAAAACCATTACTTCGGTCTTCAGTGTCAGATGATCTATCAGAGATCATTCTAATATGCTGATTTGGTGCTCAAGAAATGCGCTATTATTATCAATGTTGAAAACAGTTGTGCCACTTAGTATCTTTGTGGAAACGGTAACACATTTTTAATCAATTTTTGATAAATAGAAAGTTCAAAAGAACAGCATTTATTTGAAATAGAAATCTTTTGTAACATTACAAATGTCTTCACTGACTTTTAATTAATTTAATGTATCACTGCTGAATAAAAGTATACATTTCTTAAAAAAAAAATCTTATTGATCTCAAACTTTCAACAGTAGTGTATATTAAGTGAGAGCTAACTTCAAAATATATAATAATCACTGTGGGGAAAACATGAAATACTGTCTGAAAACAAGTTTTAATATGTTGCTTTTTAGGTCAAATTATCTTGTTTTAAAGATGTCTAGATAATTTTTTTAGAAAATAGTGAAATTCCAAGCATGGATTTTTTCAGATTCTTAAAGTAATTATTCACTCAAAAATGAAAATTCTCTCATAATTTACTCACCAGTATGTTGTTCCAAACTTGTATGACGTTATTTCTTTATAGAACACAAAAGGAGAGGTTTTGAAGACTGTCATTGATGCTCTTTCAAGCTTCGAATAAACACCATAAAAGTCTAAAGTTGTATAATAGGTTTGTGTGACAAACAGACCCATATTTAAGTAATAATTTCCTTCCTTTACTAGCTGTCAAATTTCAAACTCCGCATCGGGATTATTACAATATGTGTGATAATCAGTGTCGTGGACAGCCAAAACATGTAAAATCATGAGTAAATGATGACAGAATTTTCATTTATTTTAAATAGATATGTATACAACTTAACAATACAAGAGAATGTGGGTTCTATAAAAATAAATGTGTCTCATAGCCCTTCTTTTTCTCTCACACCAACTGCAGAACGCAGTGCGGCATAACCTTAGTCTTCACAAGTGTTTTGTGCGAGTAGAGAACGTTAAAGGGGCGGTATGGACCGTCGACGAGCTAGAGTTCCAAAAGAGAAGGCCGCAAAAGATCAGCGGGTAGGTGTTCCAGCGCCACCCCGTGCAGTGTGGCTGACCAAACCTGTGTCTGGTGGTGTTGATGGATGGGCTCCATGTCATTGTCTCTGTGCTGTGCCACCCATTGACCCCCTGCTAGCTTTAGCGTGCATCTCTGTGCCTGTATTAGAGTTATGTGCTGGCTATGTGCACCGTAACCCCTAGTCGCTTGTGCTTATCCATTCATTCATTTCATATCCTCTTCTCTATCACTGTCTGTCTGTCTGTCTTGCTACATCCGCATCTGGCTGCTTGCTGCCCCTCTCCCCCATCCCAGGGTGCCGTGCGCACCAATCTCTCCCTGCATAAATGCTTTGTAAGAGTTGAGGATGACTTTGGGTCCTTTTGGACCGTAGACGACGAAGAGTTTAAACGAGGCCGCCACATACAACGAGGTCGCCCCAGGAAGCATGTGGCCGACGAAAGCTGTGATGAGCTGCTTGTACAGTAAGCACCGCCCTCTGTCCCGCCCCCTTCCTGCATGCTCCGCCTCTGTGTGCTCGCTCATCCTGTATGTAGCCTTTCATATCTTATGCGTTTGTCATTTCTGTTTTTCATAATATATAAAATGACTCGTGTGAGTGTCATGTGATTGTATAATAAATATGTGATGTTAAAATAAAAGACAAATTCACATAAACTCTGTTCCAAAACTTAGCAAACTTCCTTGTTATCTGTGGTCTACATAGGATTCTTGTAGTTCTTACCCTCATCAACAGTTTGTCATTAACCCTCATTAAGAAAGTGAAAAATTGTCAAAAAATAGCTGGAAAAAAGCACAATCTTAGAAGGCCGCATTTTTATTTTGAAACAGCGTTTTCATTGGAAGTGAAGTAGGCAAGTAGGCAGCTAGTTTTGGGACAGAGCTCTACTGTTAAACAGCTTTTGATAGTTTAGTGCCGTCTATTGATTTTACTATTGAGTTTCATTGGAAATCAGATTGTACTCTAAATACTGACTTCAGTGTAAAATCAATCTGTTCAGTAGACCGGTGACAGTATGACTCGTTTCTGTACTGCACTGAATGTGTGTTTGTATTGTTGTCTCTACAGAAGTCCAGCTCTAGTAAAGAACATCCATACCACTTTGGGATATGGTCCCGCTCTTTCTGCAGCCTTCCAGGTAAAATCACAATCTTGCAGCATCCAATCCTCATCCATATTATTTATATGGTTTTATTTATTCATCTATTCAGTTGCTGCCCATATCCAGTCATTAACTGTACACTATAGTATTATTTTGTGCACAGTTGATGAAAAATAGCAGTAAAGCTTGCTAGAAAATACTACTCATTTAGCTGGTTTATAAGGTGACAGTCTTGTGTGACACAACTTCAATTTCCATGATGCCCTTGTGGCGCTATGAGGATGCAAATATAAAAACAAGTAATTATCAAGTACACACTCTGTATTCTTTTCATTTCATCTTCCTGTCTTTTTTGTCTAAAAAATGTCTAAAAATTATTTCATTCTGGCTAAATTCACTTGAACACACATCATGTCATCATTACGACTTTAAAAACGCCTAAAAAGGTCCTAAAAGGAATTGAAGTGTGCAAATGAATATAATGGTTATTTATTTTGGACGAGCTGAAGGCCACTGAACGCTCCTAATGTTTTGTAGGAATTGGTCTCACTGAGTTAATCTCCTGCATTCTGTTTTAGGCTTCAATGGCAGAGAACAACATACCTCTATACACTACCGCTTCCATCGGAAGTCCCACTCTTAACTCGCTTGCCAGCGCTATCCGAGAGGAAATTAATGGGGCCATGGACCACGGGAACAGCAACGGTAGTGACAGCAGCCTTGGACGCTCGCCCCTGCCAGCTATGTGAGTGGCTCACGTCCCACCTTCGTAATGTGTGTGTTACTGAGATAAGGGCGCGAGGTAAAGGGAGATGTCCAGGAATCATTAGGCTCACGCGCATGCAGGGCAACACTCGTGCGGCTTAGGTGGTGGAAATTTTTCACCAGGTCACTAGGAGTTGAAAATAAGTCTCGGAACGCACAGTAGGGTTCGATGTACATTACAGTAGATGTTGAGCCAACCGTGAAATTATATAGAAAACTGCGGTTTAGAGAGGAAGTAGGAATTGTGAATGCAGTCTTAGAAGGAAACCCCACCTTTGGCGGGTTTCTACGTTGGGGGAGCTCGTAAAGCAAATAGTGTCTCTCCGTGTTATTTCGAGAAGTTGTTTCTAAACTCGCTTTTATTATGGGTCAGTAGTGTGTGGCGTACTACGCCGAGTTCCTCCCTAATTATTGCCTCCATTTTGTTTAAATATTTACAAAAGTGGTGAATAGAAGATGACAGAACTGGCCTCCTTTTTCCAGCCAGACAGGACTCGCAGCACGTCCGAAAACTCTGCGAGCCGTCGAGAGTAAAACAACAAAGGGAGGGGTGGGGGGGTCGTAATTAGCCTCGACGAAACCGCTCCAAGATTTCCATGTAGCTGAGCTGCGGTCGGGGCTGGAAACCACAGCTCCCCATACACTTGTTGTATGGGAGGGACCGCCGTGTTGTTTGAAGCTTAAAATAATACGGTGCAGACAACGTGGTTTCCAGATGTCGGAGGACAGAATGGTGATTTGTTGCTCAGCGAGATTTATATCAGCAAATCGTTTCTTTTAAAAAAGCAGTGCGGTAATGAACTTGTGAAGATGTGGGTGAGAGAAGTGCTAATGGCAGGTAACATAGCTGCAGGCCTGCCCCATCCGCAGGATACAGAGAGACAGGATGGGTGTGCTTGCTCTGAGGCATCTGCCTCTCACCTCTCCAGGCATTTGCCGACTTAACGCACTCAAAAGCAAAGATGTTGCCCTGAACACGAGCCATACAAAGTGTGAGAATATACGAGCATACATAAAACATTAACATAAAACGCACTGAGCTTTATTAAGTTAACCAGATTTATGGATCATGTTATCAAGGGCATCGCGTTTCAATTTCGGTGAATAACTTTTTCACTAATAAAACAATTTTGTCACTTATAGATGAGGCAAGGAAAGCTTATTATTTTCAAATGTTCAAGCAGAAATTAGATGGGCAGGTTATATCTTTAACCTTTCAATGCAACAATTCATGAGTTATTTGTAATTGTAATTAAAATATTAAATAAGCATGTATGGCCATGATTATAAACACAAAGGAAAATGCATATATTCAGAATATTCTTATTAACATAATTTGTTTACATTATCTGAAAAAAATGAAATACTTTTTTATTTTATTCTAGACATGGTGCCATGGTAATACATGTATTTTACCATGTTAATTCCATTTCTATGAAGTATGTTGGATTACCATGTAAAAGCTATGAAACATGAATACTTTAAACAGTCATTACTATGGTACCACCACAGTACTTTTTTGTAAAGCATTAGCCTTTTTTTCCAACAAAACATTTTTTTATTCCTTTTGGATGCAAATGCAAAAACACAAAACACCTTTTTCTGAAATCAATTATAAATTCCATCTTTCAAGTCTTTCAATTTTATGAGTTATTTTGAACTGTGTAATTTAATGTCAACTATTAAAATGATTGCATAGTATTGCTGGCCCAAGTATATAATTATTTCCGTCTTAACATGCTACGAGGTAAACCAGGCCTGTAATTATGAGGTAAACACCCGAGCACATTGTTAATATAAGCGCTATATACTAGCTTTATTGTTTTTGAATTCTACATTCTCTTATGCTTCAGAGTCACAATTAATAACATCTAACAAATGGGCTTCCATAGCGTCTGCACCTGTATCTATTGTTGCAGATGCCTGCAATCAGATGCTTCAGTCCTAATTACGATGAAGGCTAAAGCAGAGTGCAGCTCAGTTGCATATTAATAACAATTTCATGTTTGCCCTCCAGCTAGAGATTGAGAACCGGAGGCCATGGGATACATGGAGACGCTTTGATCTAAAACCGATAGAATGGCGAGAGTTTTCTTATTATTCACGCACAAAATATGATAACTCATTAGCATGGCTGCTTTCCTAACAATCGTGGAGAGAGAAGAGGTTGTTTGGGGGGAAAAAAAGATATTGTGGCTAATTACATTTGCCAAACATGTCTTAGCGAAAACCTATAGTTTGCCATGTGAGACTAATTAACTTAAAGGCTCTGCCACAGCTGCTTCTAATGTTTATCCTTTTATTCTTTTCGGTTTTGGTTGTCTTCCCCAATAGAGTCAGCGCTCGCTCATTGGCGCTCTATTCCTGCAGTGTTTCTGTAATGAGAAATTTGGCAGATCTCATCTCTTTGGACAATCCTGTGCCCAGACTGTGGGCCGGGGTTCATGTTTTGCCTTGTTTACAACTGACAGCGTTATTATTCTTGTAAGGGCTCTGTTTCTTATCACAGCCGTTTGTGTTGGGCCCCGTCGTCAGTGCCTCCCCCTTCCCCTCTCGTCTCGCCACTGCTTTTCTTCCCCTTATTGACACTTTGGTTAGAAGTTGCATTAATTTTGCGTGTATTTAAAGTGTACGCCGCACTGTCTGGTCACCGTGTTGTGCGGCTGAGTTTTTTTTTTTTTTGCACGCTTGAAGTTGATTAATGACGGAACCTTGTGCAGGGTCGTCCTCTAGAGACCCGCCTCACAGGTTGTGCATGTTAACGAGCGAGAAGAGGAGCGCGCGGAGCGGCACTGATCCGACGCCACCGGGAAGCTGACAGGCCGTCCGCTCGCTCACCGCAGTCCATTCTCTCGTCGCCACGTCGCACGTTGTTAATCTCCCTCATTTATCAACTCAAAGTGAAAACCCTGTTGTCAGGCCAGCTGTGGAAAATAAAGCCGGCAGGTATCCCGGTGCTGGAAGAACTGAAAGGGAAGTGGAGTTATCAGGAGCGCTGCTGTGCCGCCTCTGTTAGTCTTTCATTATAGAAACAGCTGGTCGTTACACTAGTCCTTTTTATTTTCAGATATTTAACCAGTAGATGGTAGTGGCTGCACTGATACAATTATACTGTACATATTGATATGTTATCATTTTTTTTATGTATTGTCACAATATTGTCCAGATGCAGAGCCCTGCCCTTGACTTGGCGATAAAAATATACTTATGCCCACAAACTAACAATTCGTTCCCACAAATTAAGAATTTGTCCTCTTGATTTATTAATCAGTTCCCTCGTTTTAGTTTAATCGTGGCCACAAATTAAAAATTTGTTACCACAATTTATTCATTTCTTCTCTCGTTTTAGTAAATCGTGGCCATGTACTAATTCGTTCCCTCATTTTGAATTTAATTAAAAAAAGGGAACAAATTAGTACAATGTGGCCATGATTTAATAAAATGAATGAACAGTTTAATAAGTTGAGTCCACGATATGTATATTTTTGTCCCGCATATCATGTGCGGGGCTCGGTATTTAGGTACTGTAGATCCATGTATTTATTTTTTTTTATTTTTTTATTTTTTTTTTTATTTATTTTTTTTTTTCATAGACCTCACCCAACACTGAAAAAGATACTTCAAAGCATCAGCTTAAAAAGTCAAATTAAAGGAAAGAAAAAACAAACTTATCAAAAATATGCATTCATTAAGAATTATTTTTTATTAATTTTTTTTATTATTATCGTCTTATAATATACTTAAGTAAATAATTATTTTAATATTATTATTATTATTATAGCTTTTTTATTTTGAGAATGGAGGGTTTTTTTGTTTTGTGTGAAAATAAATGAACATTCATATTCCGTTTTATTCCCAGGCATCATATCAGCGTAAAAGAGGAGCCACTGGACCCCGAGGAGCACGAAGGTCCCCTTTCCCTTGTGACGACTGCCAATCACAGTCCAGACTTTGACCACAACGGAGATTACGAGGATGACCACGGTCACGAGGACATGCTGTAAGCCTGGTTTCTCCCAGGTCCTCTGCCGAAGAGACCATACTAACTGCGCTCACCTGCGAGACCACTCCAGATATAGCAAGCCCAAGACTGGATTCACAATCCTCTTGTTGACAGCTATTAAAATGTTCTGATATACTTAGTGCCATTAAATACGAAACGAAATACGAGATAAGAAAATCTATTCCATTTGGAAGTATTTTTGATTTGTTACTACTTTTCAGTTTAAAGACGAAATGCGTAAATTTCTACTCATCTTCTCATGAAGAGACGTTTGGTACTGGGGCCTGCTTCTACTTCCTTTTGGCAAAAGTGTCACTGAGACCAGAGCGGACATGAAAACACAGCTGAGAAAGACTCATTGCCCTCCGAGTCGAATAAACACTGATCACGAACTCTCACACACACAAATCATTAGCGCTTCGATGAGCGTGCCACTCACAGTGTGCATGTACGTATGTGACTTTAATTCATTGTCTCTGCCTTCAGATCTTCTCAAGAGGACGGTTCACCCAAAAATGAAAGCTCTCTCGTCATTTACTCACCCTTAGGTCGTTCCGAACCCGTGTGACGTTCTGTCTTTCGTGAAACACAAAATGATTCGTTTTGAAGAGTGTACTCGGTTGCTTTGAAAGCGAATGCTCTCCCTGAGAGTTTATGAGAGTCAACGGTGAGCGAATCGTTCTTTTGAGTTGGATCTTTTTAGTGAATTGGTTGATGAGGTTCAAAACAAAGCTGACTGATTTTCAAGTTCAACTCACTGACTCAAACAAAGGGAAGGCTTAGATTTTGGTTAGTTTTTTTACCCAAATGTATCTACAACTTCAGAAGACTTGAAATATAGGAAAACGGTATAGATCCCCTTTATGTCACTCCACTCTGCATTAATTGTAATTGCATGAAAAAGAGCAGCTGGTGCACTCTTTAAAATGTCTTTTTGTGTTTTTATGGATAAAAAGAAAGTCATATAGCTTTTGAACAACCTGATTATGACTAAATGACAGAATTTTCATTTTTTAAGTGCACTATTCCTTTAAATTCGCTGTCATCGCAGCTGGAGGATATCTGTCTGGTGTTTTGAGGGTTCCTGGGCGAATAATTTAAACGTAGTGTCCTCTCATTACTCTGTGCTGTTAGCTATGTATCCTTTTTGCTGGGTTTGTTTGTTTTGGTAACTGATCAGACCTCATGAATAATGACGTGGAGTTATGGTGTGCTTAGCACTGGATGAATGTTAAGGCTTCTCATGCTCTTTTTTTTTTTTCTTCCCCTCTTTCTTTCCTTTTCGAAATTGAAACAGAATGTCGCATTACCGTGTAGTATTTTTCTGTCATTTGTTCCTAGCGTTTCGGATCGCCACTTTGCAGTCACATTGCCCTTGCGTGCCGTCACACACACACACACACTATCTCTGTCTTTCCCGCTCATGACGTCCATCTGCAAATGCACTTACTCGTAATGAAGGCTCCCTCTCCACGCTCCAATGAAGTTTAATTTTCACGTGGAATGAATGACAGAAAAATCAACGCAGGTTAATGTTTATCGCTCTGAAATTATACTTTCAAAAATCCCCTTTTGTGGTGATGCATGTTAGCGTCAACCAAATCGCTGATCGAAACCATCATCTGTATTGCAAAATGAAATGTCAAAAAATGTTGAAATAAGCACCAGGGAGAGGATTGTTAGACAAAAGCTAATCGTGATTCCTGAACGTTATTGACGGCATACAGGAAACTTTAAATTTTTTTATTTCTGTCATTTCAAAGACTGTCTGGATGACTTTTAAACTGCATTCCCTCTAGTTTCAATATCAGTTTCACCACATCAATGACCGGCTCAGCCTCTGTTATTAGACGTGATAATAATTACAAACGGGATAAACGTTAAAGGGGTTATGAACTGAGGCTGATGGCACAGCCATGACCACTGAGCATTACAGCACTGGGGCAGCCCACTATGGCCATTCGCTTCTTGCCACATCGCAATTGTTTCCGATATAGGAAATCCAATCCACGCAGGCCATTTGAACCCGGAAAGCAACTCCGAATTGGAAGCTGCTATCGCCGGCTAGCTTAGATTGAAATTTTGGGAACAGACTTTAGATTAGGCTTCTACAAAGCGATTGCATTTTGTTTTTCGAATGACTGCAACCAACCACTTTCTGTGTTCTTATTTATTACTTCCATTTTTATTGTCAGTTTGTTTTTACTTAAGTTGATGTTTATGTCTCTTATCTGTGACTACCAAAGAAGCAAGATACTACAAGCTGATATATTCTATGTTCCATGCAATAGCTAAACAAAAGGCCAAATATCCTTATAGTGTTCCCCGCACTGGCCGGACGCAAAAATTATGAAATGTCTGTTACTGTGTCAGGCTTATTGTGGTGAAGAAAAAAAAAAGCCAAAGGGTTGTTCGATGGGCAGCTGTATGTCTTTGCCTGTGACCAAAATAGTAGATCGAGACCAACACACGACCAAATCAAAGCAATGTTGTCTTTGGGCCAATGAAAAAGAAAAAAGGGAGTGTTCTATTAGGAAATGATGGCTATAAAGGGGAAGGATATGGATGAAAGAGTTTAGGACTGTGCTCACTGTCGTCACAGGAAATTTAAATCCAGGAGGGGGAAAACATTTGCATAACACAATGTGAACTGAACTTTAAACTGGACCACACAATGATGAGTTGACCCCACAATGATGAGTTTCATTTTTTTTAATTCTTTAGATTTTTTTTTTTTTTTTTTGCCATTTTATTCTTTGAAAAGATTGTATGCCACTTACCTTGTAAATTCGAAACAGGATTCCCGATGTCCTTTTGTTAACCTTGGCAATGCTCTATGATTGTGTTTTAGTGTCTGTCAACATATTACTTTTTTTATATTAAAAAACACTCCTGTCAACCAATAAGCTGGGTACAAGGTACTTTAATGGCAGTTACTACTATTTGTAAATTTATCCAAGCATTTCGTATTGATGAAAAGGGTTCACTGAAATGAATAAAGCATCCGGGCAGCTGCAGTGGGACAGATTCGGGGCTCTTCTGAGGGCCGTTTCTGATTGTTATTCTTGAGCAGGTAGATGAGACCATTCACCGCATGTGTAGCTCGGCATTACTGAAGAAATACAGCATGAGAAACTGTTAATATGCATACCTCAGTTCAAACCTCTAGGGAATGAGTAATTAAGAAAAAGATGTAACATTTCACTCAGTTGCACTTAGTCGTATGTCTTGCATGTTTAGTCTAAAACTGTAGCAAACTATTTTAAGAAAAAGATTTTTAAAAAATATATAAAAATCAGAGCTTGTTTATCATGAGGGTCTCTCTTTTTTTCCTCTTTTAAACCAATCCAAACCTCAGGCTTTTTTTTTATCGTTAAGAAACGCCACTCGGCTTGCTTCGATATGATCTCTTCTTCGATTTATTTTGCTTCTCACATGCGGTAAACTGTTTCCTGTCTCTGCTCTTTTAGCTCATGTTGAAGTAGGTTGTACATACACCACATTATAGCTTGTGTGTCCTCTCATTTTCTCCTGATTCTTTTCAGAGAACAAAAAAAATACTGTTTGTATCACCATGTTTGCTTTATCACAACTGCTTTGTATTTACTATTAAAAAAGACGGAAAACACAAAGAAATGAGCTACTGCTGTATGTATTCCAATAGCGAACTGTGCTGCAAATGTAATTGACTTCATCTTGCTTTTTCTGTAGGGAAAAAAAAAAGGAAACTCGCAGACATCTGGGAGGGAATGGATCCGGGGATAATCCACCGTTTTTGGATTCTAAAAACTGTAAAATAGAAAACAGATTTGTCTCCGTTATCATTGACCGAAGAGTGTTGTACACTCTTTCCCTTCTTGCGTTAAGCTGTTTTTAATACATTCAAAAAGATCCTGCTTTTCTGGTCTATATTAGCTATACAGCAGGTGTATGTCCTCTGGAGCACAAGGGAAAATACTTGCATGTCTTGCAGAACTGCAAAAATCATTTCTTAATCACTATTTTTCTTTTAAAACAATGTGCAAGTTTGATTTGAAGTACATTTCTTTTTAGTATTTTAAGACTTAAAGATACAGGGGTTGTTTAAAACGAGGGAAAAAACACTTTGCCAGTGTGGTACATGATTCACAACAATGAAAAGTATTATAACTTTTTTTATATATATAATAATTCACTATGTTTTAAGTTCTAGTCGTCTTGTTTCCCTGATGAAGAAAAAAGTTTGCTGTGAAGAAAGTCTATGAATCATGCACACTATAATAAAAATGTTGATTTGTGTGTACTATTTCTCTAAAAACACGAAAACTGCAACAATTCATCAAAGCTTTCTTTTTGGCCTTATAAGCAACTTGTAAGCAAAAAAGCTAGTTTTTTTTAATGCAAATCATATTACAAATAGTTTTAACAGAAACATCCTCCAGCAGACAGTTACTGTCGCAGTCATGCTGCTCTCATACACTATGAATGACTAGATCATGATCGTGCCTGTAAATCTTCACAATTCTTTCTTTCTGTCTTCTATAATTCCCACTTTTTCTGCTCTAATCTAAAATCTTTACATTCTCTCTTTGCTGACTATTCCGTTATCCTCAGTGTCTAAAACTGACTCGCATGTTCGATACAGAAGCAATAAAAATGCAGTTTGTTTCTGAATTATATGCATCTTTCATTATCTGTGCTGCTATGGTCACACTATAATAAAGCTACAGATAATTGTTTTTCATATATGCATATATGACATGCAAAGAGAAGGCTCAAATCAGGCAGAACTGAAGTGCATTTATCAGTTTCAGCACAACATTATTAAGTGTCTTTAATCAGATTACTGTTTGTTATCGAACGCTCGTCATGAAGTCCATAATGACCGGCACTATCACGGCAGCTCGCACATTAAATTACCTTCTAATTAAAAAGAGACAGTTAAACTGTCCTTTACCAACAGCAATTTAGGTAACTGCATTTGACCAGCTATAAATTGTTACTGCATTAAAATCCCAGAAATATTAGCGATATGGATTTCTTGATGGAAATTAATGCTGATGATGAGGAGTTTGCTTTTTATGAGGGATGCACGGGGTCATGTTAGCCACTAAACAGCAGACAGAGATCAGGCCAAAGCATTTTTAATCTTGTGAAACAAGCAATTACAAATAGTTGCATTGATTTGTTAAAAAGCTTTAGGTGACATAAATTGTTTCCTGCTTAGCTTATTGCTCTGATCCATAAATGTCATTGGGGATATTATCATTAAAGATGCTGGAAGACAAGATTTAAAGGAAACAATATAAAATTATGGTTAGACTTTTTGCTGGTAATATTTTATCCCTTATTTGGAGCTTCTTAATTTTATTGCTGTTGTCTCACAGATATTATAAGAGCCAGCTAGTTTTCTCCTAGTCCGCTGTCATAATCATGGATTTGTACCAGGGTTTTTTTCAGTTAACTAAACCTAAAATCATTTAAGAAATCCATATATGTATA